TACATTCTTCTGGTACTAAATCCAAAACACAGCACTATGCTAGCTACTATGAAGAAAATTAACTCTATCCCAGCCAAAACCAGGACAAAAGGGAAGAGCCATCACTTAATGCATTTCCTTATGCACAGGCAGCAGATGTCCAAGTGGATACCCAGGCCTAATGCTGATATATAATGGTGATTCCTGAAGCAGCATTTAACTAGGTTTCTGCATCTGTAACCTTCAAGTAAAGAATGCTATTCACGTGTTGAGGCACGTGGCACTTGAAGCAAGACACAGATTCAATGATCTGGATGGAAAGCCTCTTCACAATTCAAAGAACTCTATTTGTATTCCTCCTTCCATATATTTCTCTCTTGGACAGTCATTTAAAAATACCACATGGCAATTTCTGCAGTCTCTTAAAGAACCTCTGTATTTAAGCAAAATTTCAGCCTAAATTTACAACAACACAAAATACTTTTTAAATTCTTAAAATGTTTGCTTGAATTTCCTTGTAAACACACTTCATGTAGCAAAATCAGAATTTACTCTACAAATGGGCTGGTGTCCCACACCAGTTGGAATTCATGTTTATGAATTCTGAGCATTCCCTCATTTTCAAGAAAAGATCCAGAAGTCATTCAGCATCCTAAAGCTAGCACAGTTATTGGAGGTAATCTTTTTTTTTTTTTAATCTCAAGAACAGAGCACAGCTTTACAACTGCTTTTGAACCAAAGACTTCTGCTTCAATAGAAGCTATACTGTCACGGACCAATACAACGCTGTTGTTACATTACTTAAAGTACACGTCTGTATCTCATCCCCAACTCCACCCTCTTCTCCTTAACAAATTAGACCTTAAATCCATGCTCTCACCCACCCCATCTTCTTAAAACACAAAGAGCTTGCATCCCTATCCTCATCTTCCCAACTTTCCTACACATTATGGTTCCCCACCTGCCTCAACTTACCTCTCTCCTCCAGCTCCCTACATTATCCCAACCCGACCTCTTCCCTTGACACCCCCAAAGGCTGTCACCGGCTATGTTGGTGTGCTGGCTCACTTCCATGTAGGTAATTCCACTCCAGACCTCCTGTCCAAGCCCATACTACGTAGGCTACTCTCAACGTGCGACGAGCTCATAACTCGGGACGATTCCTCAGTTCCTTACCACTTATTTCCAACTCTGCCCAGTGTGATTTCTTTCCATTGGCTGCTTCCTCTGAGGACATAATTGTGTACATCCTCCGTGGATCAGGTGGATCGTACTTTTCCTTGGGCATTTCTGTTGAGACAAAAAGACAAATAATAATTAAGATACTATATACTGAGAGTTTTTTAAAAGGCAATTTCCGTTTCAGTTAAAGTTCATACTGCAGGTTTGCTCCAAATACTTTTCAGAGCTTCAGATAACAATAACCTGTGTCCATTTTCCCACTCAGTGAAGTTTGTAAGACTGCTATAAAATAGAACATAGATTCCTGATGTTCCTTAGAATGGCAGATGACAGCCCCCCCACCCCCCAATAACTTAACAAAATCTGTAAACCAACATAAGCATTGTGTCCTGCCACCTTTTGTGGGTATGTCACTGTGTCCTTCAAAATCAATCCATCCTACTGCAGGCTCTTGGTTCTTCAATGATGAATTGCAATATTATGCAATTATTAAGTAAAATACCTTACAGCAGTATTAGAATACTACCCAAAACCACTCAGTAAAGAAGCAGCTATACTGGTCAAAACCATGAGCATGCCTACCTACCAGGTCTTTTAAAGCTTTCTCCTTTTTTCATATCCCTGGACAAAGCAAATACATCAGAAAAGCATTGCAAATATATAGAGAATAAACATGGAATAACTGTTAGTAAATTAGACTATCAACCAGATTTCTTATCTGTTTATTGAATTTACTGGAAAATGTTTACTCCGCATGTTAAATAAACAACAGAAAACCCCCTAAAACGTCCAGCTAATTATGAATCTTAATTAAGATAAAGCTTTTAGGCACCACACGCTTACTTTTAATACACCAGCTCTTTTACTAATTCATGCTCCTCCTTCGCTTTCCCACTCCCACTACTGGTCAAAAACCAGATTTCTGCAGTGGAAAGCAACTGGCCTTTAAAAAGGCAACTGTGGGTAACAGGATGAGATTATCAACAGCAGCTGGGGGAGCTCCTCCACCAGTGGAGACTCTCAAGTGCCCAGGGTACTGGATGACCAAGAGCAGCGCTTTCTGCTTCAAACTCAGCTCATGAAAGGAGATACGAGTGGATTATAACCACTGGGAAGGTAAAAGCGTAACTCCTCCTTGCAATACCTATGCAACTAGTGCAGCAGTACATGGCAAAGCAACGTACAGAGCATCTCTTCCGAACTGGCTATATACAATCCAAAGACCAACGCCATGCAGGAATGGTCCTGTTTGTCAGGAGACATTTCCAATCCTCGGTCATTTGATGCTTTCTCTTCCTGCAGCTCCCTGAATTAATAAATATGTTCCAATTTTTCCAGAAATGAAGCAGGTAGACTAGAGACAGAAATCTCATTCAGTACAGAAACATGAGCATTCCCCAGAGCACGTTCGATCACACGCACTAATTAACAGCCGTGCTGGTACCAGCAGCGCACTGCTCCTCACTGCCCGGAGAGGATGACATACTTTTTCAGTGGGTTTTGTTAATGTGCTCTAAAACAAGGAGAGAGTTAAGAACATGAGGTCGTAACACTGCATACCAGTGACCCCGCACTCCCGGTCCATCCACGGCACTACTCACCCTCCCATTAAAGCTCTCACTCTCACTGCTACATTTCACAGTGGATGATCCTCTGCTGTTTCGCATTACCGGGAGCCAAAAGAGCAGCAAACGCTCTTGAGGCTGCCAGCTGAAGGAGCTGCCACTCCACACAGCGAAGCATCACTGACACCGGCCACGCCAACCACCAAGGACGCCGGCACACCAAGCGTTAGCGCATCTTCACCCGTCGTGCAGAGTCCAGGATTTCTCAGGCCCTGACAAGCAAGGCTCAATGTGGGTTGCGTTTCGTAGGCCATCATCAACCACAAGCACAATACCTTGCATTGCATTTCAAAACTCCACAGCATGGAGCAGTTCAAGAAAATCAGCCTCTTTTACGAGTCACTGTCTCTCCTCCTTTCTCCACCTCCCCAAATCTAAATTCAGAGCCTGCTGAGCTGCTACAGTTAAACCTAATAGCTGACGTAAACGTCAGTGAAGTGATACAGTTTTGTCAGAATAAAGCAATTTTTAGTAAGACCCATAACGTGGTGTTGAACAGCCTTAGAGCCATTGATAACTGCAGCTTTAAACGATCATGACGATCCTTCCCAGAAGAGCTTACAGGTCAGCTGCAGCAGCGCAGATGGTGGGGAGCACCGCTGGACACTGGGCTGCTACCACACGCGGCCAGTTAGTTCGCAAAGGAGAAAACCCTCACAAAGACATGACAGGGATGCCCAGAACACACCCCGGACTATAAATGTAATGAAGAGGACATTTACAGAATCACAGAATCGTAAGGGTTGGAAGGGACCTCAGGAGATCATCTAGTCCAACCCCCCTGCTAAAGCAGGCTCACCTAGAGCATGCTACACAGGACTTTTATTTAAATATGTTTGAATGCAGCTGAAATTGTTTACTATCTTGTACAAGGTTATTAAAATTGCTATGCAGATATCTGTAAAAACAGAAGAGCTTGAGAGTTCAAGAGGAGCATGGCTGCCCGTTCCCACCCCAGGCCACTTGTCCCAACGGAGTTAACAACCCTCACCTCAAAGAATCCGAGCTGAACAAGGCCGATGAGGTGAGCAGTGCCGAGGGTCTGACACAGGGAATTAGACCCTGAGCCTTCGGCACGGGCGCAGTTTGCACAGAGGTGCCGAGAAAGGCAGGGCAGGGAGAGCAGCGGCAGCCAAGACCCTTCGGGGAAAGGTGCAGGGCGAGGATGATGAGGATCGGAAAGAAGAACTGAAGGTTGTGAAGTCGA